CATCCAGTCTAATGCCCAGCCATAAAGGAAGACACAATCCAATCCCTCCTGACAGATGGTCATCCGGCCTCTGCTTCAAGATCTCCAGAGAAGGAGGTGGATGGGTGAATAGATAAAGAGAGAGAGAGTAATAGACATATAGAATAATAGAGTTGTAAGGGACCTCGAGGCCAATTCTAGTCCACAGCTCATTCTGACAGGCAGGAAGACACAATTCAATCCCACCTGACAGATGGCCATCTGGCCTCTGCTTAAAGACCTTCAGAGAAGGAGATAGATAGATAAATCAAATCCTAGAGTTGAAAGGGACTCAAAGGCCATCCAGTCTAACACCCAATCATAAAGGAAGACACAATCCCTCCTGACAGATGGCCATTCGGCCTCTGCTTAAAGACTTTCAGAGAAGGATACAGATAGATAAATAGAATCCTAGAGTTGAAAGGGACTCAAAGGCCATCCAGTCTAACACCCAATCATAAAGGAAGACACCTTCAAATCCCTCCCAACAGATGGCCATCCAGAGATTCCACCTAAACATTAGGAAGAACTTGGTGATGGTCAGAGCCATTCAAGTGTGAACGATGCTGCCTTGCAATACAGTGGGGCCTCCTTTTCAATAGGACTCTAAGCAGAAGCTGGATGGCTGCCTGTCAGAATGGGGTTGGACTGGATGGCCTTTGCGTGCCCCTTCCAGTTCTATGATTGTATGATCCTATGACCCCCTGATGGACATCAAGGGGACCGAGAGGGCGGGTGGGGGCCTGGGGCGGGGGCCGCATGGCTGTCCACTCACCGTACAGGTACTGGATGCCTTCTACGTCGTCCGGGTGCAGCTGGAAGTCGGCCAGGTAGGTGTACATGGGGTACATGAGGGCCTCGCGCACGCTGGAGTGCTCCAGGCCCAGCGCATGGCCAAACTCGTGGGCGGCCACCAGGAAGAGGCTGTACCCTGCAAGGCAGAAGGTGGGCGATGGGCCGGGGGCCGCAGACCCCTTGGGACCCCCACAGACCCAACACAGGTGTATGCAGACTCCCTGGCAATCATTAGACCCCCCCCCCCCTAATTAGAGTCCTTAACACACACATCCCGCCCCAAGTTGGAGCTCAACCCCAATGCCACTTAAAGGACACTTCTGCTTCTCTTAGGCTGGATCTACACTGCTCTGTATCCCAGGACCTGATCTCAGATTATCTGGTAGTGGAGACTCAGATAATCCAGTTCAAAGCAGACAAAATTTGGGGGGTGGGGGGTGGGGGGGGGGAATCTGTTCCTGGTTAGCAAGTGTTTTTTCCTGTATCCTTGTACTTTGAAAGTTGTTGTTCTACTCCAGAAACTTTGTTTTTGTGGCTACCATAGGTAAAGGTAAAGGTTTCCCCCGACATTAAGTCCAGTCGTGTCTGGCTCCGGGACTGTGGTGCTCATTTCCATTTCTAAGCCGAAGAGCCGGCGTTGTCCATAGACACCTCCAAGGTCATCTGGCCAGCATGCCTGCATGGAGTGCTGTTACCTTCTGCCGGAGCGGTACCTATTGATCTACTCACATTTGCATGTTTTCAAACGGATAGGTTGGCAGAAGCTGGGGCTAACAGCGGGAGCTCACGCCGCTCCCCGGATTCGAACCTGTAACCTTTCGGTCAGCCAGTTCAGCAGCCCAGTGCCGCCGGAGGCTTGTGGCTACCATAAACTAAGCTGAATTGGTTATAGGCCCATGGTAGCGCAGAAGTTAAAACTGCTTGCTGCAGGAAATATGCTGACCAGAGAGTTAGCAGTTTGAAGCCATGAGTCGGGGTGAGCTCCCAGCTGTCAGCCCTAGCTTCTACTAACATAGCAGTTCAAAAGCATGTAATGATAGTAGATCAATAGGTACCGCCTCAACGGGGAGGTAAAAGGACACCCCATGCAGACATGCTGATCATGACTTGCATTTTACATGGTTTTTGATCTGTTTAATTGATTGGGAACTTGTGGACCAAAAGGTCAGCAGTTTGAATCCAGAGAGCTGGGTGAGCTCCTGCTGTTAGCCCCAGCTTCTACCAACCTAGCAGTTTGAAAACATGCAATAGGTGCCACTTTGGCAGGAAGGTAGCGGTGCTCCATGCAGTCATGCCAGTGGCCACATGACCTTGGAGGTGTCTATGGACAACGCCGGCTCTTTTCTCTCCAACCACCGGAAGTTCCCACGGCCTGTCTCCCAGTCAACCGAGAGTCTTCACTCCCATGCTTGGGTTTCCTAACTGGGTCTTGGGGTCTCAGGCCCCTTCCCTTGAGGTGCGCTCCCTCCCACCCGGGGAGGCTTCCTTTCTGACCTTGGTCAGGGCAGAGGCCCCACTTCTTGTCGGCGTCGTAGTTGCTGGTGGTGGCGCACCAGAGCCGCCCGTCCTCACGGCCCTCGGAGGTGCAGGAAGAGTAGCTCTTGCCCAGGAAGGTGAAGGGGAAGGCGCAGGGCTCGCCCTGGGAGTTGCCCCCCACCACGGCCGTGTCTGGGAAGGAAGGAAGGAAGAAGGATCGAGAGGAGAAGAGAAGCAAGGAATAAGCAGAACGCATGGATAGAGGGTGGGAGGGGGGCACGTGGATTGATATCGAGCTAGAATTTAGAGGCTCCCACCCAGGAGAGCGGAGCCCTCAGACCCACCGACAGCCAAGACTCCAGAGGACAGGAGCAGGACTCAAAGGGATCTTGACAGATGAGAGAGATGATGGGCCAAAACTAACACAATGAAGTTCAACATGCAAGAGACTCCACTTGGGCAGGAAAAACGAAATGCAAAGAGACAGAATGGGGGACGATGAGGCCTGGCTCATTGGTGGGTCTGAGGGCTCCTCTCTCCTGGGAAGGAGCCTCTAAATTCTAGCTCGATATCATTGTCATTGGGAAACAGCCACTGGGAAAGGGATCTAGGAAAGGTAGGAGACCACAAACGGAACGTGAGCCCATGGTGTGTGAGGCAGCAGGCCTTGTGTGAAGGAGCCTTCACCTGGCCCATGCACTTGGGGCGGGGCCAAGGAGGTGGCCTCACGACCCCTTCAAAATGGCCAGGCGACTCCCCTGGGGGTCGCGATCCCCAGGTTGAGAACCACTGATCTAGAATAACAACCTTATATCCCGTTATGGGCAAAGCCATCCAGGAAGGATTAGGAACAAGATGGAAGGGGTCCAAAGAATCATAGCTTAGCAGAGTTGGAAGAGACCACATGAGCCATGTAGTCCCACCCCCTTCTGCCCTGCAATCAAAGCACCCCCAACAGATGGCCATCAGATGATCAGGAAATTAACTACAGGCTGCTTATGATCCCTTAATAAATTGGTTACCCTACACTCTGTGCTTCTCTTCATAGAATCATAGAATCAAGGAGTTGGAAGAGACCTCATGGGCCATCCAGTCCAACCCCATTCTGCCAAGAAGCAGGAATATTGCATTCAAATCACCCCTGACAGATGGCCATCCAGCCTCTGCTTAAAAGCTTCCAAAGAAGGAGCCTCCACCACACTCCCTCCGGGGCAGAGAGTTCCACTGCTGAACGGCTCTCACTGTCAGGAAGTTCGAGTTGGAAGAGCCCTCCTGGGCCATCATCCAGTCCAACCCCATTCTGCCAAGAAGCAGGAATATTGCATTCAAAGCACCCCTGACAGATGGCCATCCAGCCTCTGCTTAAAAGCTTCCAAAGAAGGAGCCTCCACCACACTCCCTCCGGGGCAGAGAGTTCCACTGCTGAACGGCTCTCACAGTCAGGAAGTTCTTCCTCATGTTCAGGTGGAATCTCCTCTCTTGTAGTTTGAAGCCATGGCTCCATTGCGTCCTAGTCTCTCTCCAGGGAAGCAGAAAGGAAGCTTGCTCCCTCCTCCTCCCTGTGGCTTCCTCTCACATATTTATTTGCCCTTTCCTTGCTGTAATGTACCTTTCCTAGCCTCTTTTCTTCTCTTTCCAGATAGCGGGTTCCCCCATTACAAAGTCTCTGATAGTTTGGTCTCACTGCCAGAGGTTGCCTCCTAAACTGGGGCCAACAAAATGAGGTCTGGTAATTAAGAAATCTGATTAAGAGCAGCTTAAGGAGCTGCGGGTGTCTCTCTTGGAGAGAAGGGGGCCGAGAGAAGGGGAGACGACAGTCATGTTTACATGTTTGGAGGGAGGTCCCATGGAGGAGAAAGGGGCAAGCCCATTTTCTGCTGCTCCAAAGACTGGGACACAATGGAGGCATGGATTCCAGTGACATAAAGAGCGATTCCACCTCAACACTAGGAAGAACTTTCACTGGTCAACACAGGCTGGATGGCCATCTGTCGGGAGGGTTTGGGGTGCCTTACAGCCTGGCCAAAGGGAGATAGCCTGGATGGCCTTTGGGGGGTCCCATCCAACTGTAGGGTTCAACTGTACCTCTGTTGGGGCAGAAGCCATACTTCTTGTCCTGGTCGAAGTTCCCGGTGGTGGCGCACCATCGGTACCCGTCGCTCCGTCCCTCGGTGGTGCAGCTCTCGTAGGACTTGCCGTCAAAGATGAATGGGAAGACGCACTTCTCCCCATCGCCGTTTCCTCCGTAGGTGAAGAGAACTGCAGAGAGAGAGGCACATGAGGAGGGTCTCATTACAGGTGGGTCCAGGGGGTTGTCCTTATTTGACCCTCTGGGACAAAGTTTCGGGGGGCATTGCACTTGTGACCAATGAGGTGGTGGCCAGTCCTAGAGGCACCAGAGAAGGAGCACCCAGAGCAGTCTGCAAGCATTCCAATTGGGTGACTTCCCAAAGAGCACTATATCGACTCTTTTGGGATGCTACATCCTTCAACTGATGCAGTTCACTCTCACTTGAGCTGCCCTGGGGCAATGCTATGGAATCCAAGGAGTTGTAGCTCCCCAAGGTCCTTAGAATCATAGATTCATACAGTTGGAAGAGACCTTATGGGCCATCCAGTCCAACCCCATTCTGCCCAGAAGCAGGACAATCATGTTCAAAGCACTTTGGCCTTCTCCACCTAAGAGTGATGGTTCCTCCACAAACTATAACTCCCAGGATTCCATAGCAATGATAAAGTGGTGTCAATCTGCATCAATTCTTTGGTGTAGATGCCCCCTGGAAGAAGGCCTTCTCTCCAAAGCACAAGAGGGTCCTTGCAGCAGTTGCCCTCAATCAATGGACACTCCTCTCTTGCTCTAATCCAGCCACCAAAGGTTAAGAATCAATGAGGGTGCAAACTGTGCAATGAATGCAGCTTGATACAAGGGAACCACCCTGGTTGCATGCAATAGGATCCTGGAAGTTGTACTTTGGCAAGGTCCTTACCCTTTCTATACTGATGCTTCACCAAACTATAAGTCCCAAGACTCCATAGCCCAGCACCATGGCAGTTCACAGTGGTGCCATTACGCATTAATTCTGCAGTGGAGATGCTCCCCAGATCTGTGTGCAAAGCACGGACTCTAGGATAGGCTTACAGAATGCAGTTTGGATGCAAAATCCATCCATAAAGTAGGATGGAGCTGGGCTGACCAAGGACGGAGATTTCCTCCCAAGCCTTTGCACATAATAAATAATAATACATTTTATTTATTCCCCCTCCACCGTCTCCCCAAAGGGGACTTGGGGGGCTCACATGAGTCCGAGCCTGAAGATACAATACAACAAATACATCACAATAAAAGACATGAAGTAACAAGATAAAATAAACAATGCAAAATAACATAATGGACACACAACCGGAAGGTCAATGGCATTGAACCTTCTCAATCCAGGTGTGCAAAGGATGTGCTCCCAAGGCATGTCTGCAAGAGTGTTTGGATGCAGAATGCATTCCTGGCGGAACTTTGCTTCTTTTGGCCCCTGGATCTCCCTTTTCTTGGCTGTATGTTTTTCTTACCTGCTCAGTAGCATAGTAAACACAGCATGAGAAATATAATAACAACAATCTCTGCAATCCACTGGACTCATTTTGCATTTGTATTCTCTCCTTTGGTGTAATTAATTACACTAAGTAACACTATGTAATTAATTACACCAAAGGAGAGAATACAAATGCAAAATGACTCTAGTGGATTGCAGAGATTGTTGTTATTATATTTCTCATGCTGCGGCGTGAGCTCCCGCTGTCAGCCCTAGCTTCTGCCAACCTAGCAGTTCGAAAACATGCAAATGTGAGTAGATCAATAGGTACCGCTCCGGCGGGAAGGTAACGGCGCTCCATGTAGTCATGCCGGCCACATGACCTTGGAGGTGTCTACAGACAACGCTGGCTCTTTGGCTTAGAAATGGAGATGAGCACCACACCCCAGAGTCAGACATGACTGGACTTAATGTCAGGGGACTAGCTTTACCTTTTTAACACTATGATGTTTATTCCTGGGTTATAAATAGTCTTAACACTTTCTAACCCAGGCATGGGCAAACTCTGGCCCTCCGCGTGTTTTGGACTTGCAAAACCCCCGGAGTCCAAAACACCTGGAGGGCTGAAGTTGGCCCATGCCTGGTCTACACTCCTGAATTAATGCCCTGTGATCCTAGCCTAAGTGCCATGGCTCAGCACTATGGGTTCATCATGGAAGCCTCCGTTCTGCAAGGTCTTCAGCCTTCTTTGCAACCCCTTGACTCACGTTCGCTGGGGCAGAAGCCATAGGTCTTGTCCTTGTCGTAGTCGGCGGTGGTGGCGCACCAGGAGAGGCCGTCGGAGCGCCCGTCGGTGGTGCAAGAGGAGTAGGACTTTCCCCCAAAGACAAAGGGGAAGCGGCAGTTGGCGCCCTTGGCGTTCCCATAGTAGGTCTTCACCACTGCGCAGAAGGAAGGAAGAGGAAGGGTCTTGGTCAGAAGTGGAGAAGGGGAGAAGGGAGGGAGGGAGGGAGGAAGGAAGGAAGGAAGGAAGGAAGAGGAAGAGGAAGGAAGGAGGAGGAGGGAGGAGAGGAGAGGAGGGAAGAAGGAGAAGAAGGAAGGAAGGAAGGAGGGAGGAGGGAGGAGGAGGGAGGGAGGAGGGAAGGATGGATGGAAGGAGGGGAGGAGGGAGGAGGGAGGGGAGGAGGGGGGAGGGAAGGAGGAAGGAAGAAAGGAAGGAAGGAAAGAAGAAGGAAAGAAGGAGGAAGAAGAAGGAAGAAGAAGGGAAGGAGAGGGAGGGAGGGAAGGAAGGGAAAAGGAAGGAAGAAGGGAGGGAGGGAGGGAGGGAGGGAGGGGAGGAAGGAGGAAGGAAGGAAGGAAGGAAGGAAGGAGGGAGGGGAGAGGGAAGGGAGGGAGGGAGGAAGGAAGGAAGGAAGGAAGGAAGGAAGGGGAAGGAAGGAAGGAAGGAAGAGGAGGAGGAAGGATGGAGGGAAGGAAGGAAGGAAGGAAGGAGAGGGAGGGAGGGAGGGAGGAGGAGGAGGGAGGGAAGGAGGAGAAGGAAGGAGGAAGAGGAGGAGGGAGGAGGAGGAGGGAGGGAAGGGAAGGAAGGAGGAAGTAAGGAAGGAAGGAAGGAAGGAAGGAAGGAAGGAAGGAAGGAGAAGGGACATTGCATTGGGTGCAAGTCCGGCTGGCCGGCCAAACTCACCAATCCCAGTTCCCAGGGTCCAGAACTCGTCGTCGTCAAAGTGGGCATCTCCACTGAAGCGGTCTTTTCCCGGAGGGAATGCATGGGCCAGGAGCCCATCCTTGCCGTCAAAAGGGTAGCCATCGCCATGCTCTGAAGAGACAGGGAAGAGGGCCAATGGAGATGATGATGATTATGTTTATGTTTATTTATATCCCACATTTTCTCTCCACAAGGAGACCCACATCCTGGTTCAAAGGGAGTCTCTTTCTCTGGAGACTTTGGAACGAAGGCTGCGTGACAGAATGGGGTTGGACTGGATGGCCTTTGGGGGCCCCTTTCAACTCTTTTGGAATGTAAACTGCCTTGAAGTCTGCTGGATCCTCCTTCTCTGGAGGTTTTGAAACAGACTGAGTGACCATCTCTCAGGAGGACTTGGGTGTTGCCTTCCTGCCTGGCAGAAGAAGGTTGGACTGGATGGCCTTTGGGGTCCCCTTGCATAGAGTTCCCTTCTATCTTGAGTGGAATATAAAGTCTTTTTGTCTCCTTTTCTAGAGGTTTTGAAACATAGGCTAAATGGTCATCACTCAGGAGGGCATGAAGGTGTCTTCCTGCTTGGAAGAAGGAGGCTGGACTAGATGGCCTTTGGGGTCTCTCTCTTCCAACTCTAGGATTGCATGGTTGTTAGGAATTGTGGGAGTTGCAGTCCAAAACACCTGGAGGGCCAAAGTTTGCCCCGACCTGGTTTAAAGGACGCCGCATGAAGCCCTCCCACAGAAACTTCTCTCCCATTCCTTACCATCGGTTCCAAACATGATGAGGATGTCCACATCGCCGCTCTCCCGGGGGGTGAAGGTCAGCGGAGTGACCTCGCTCCAGACCCGGAAGGCCCGGGCAAAGGCGTCGTCAATGATGCCGGCGTCCAGGTCGGGAGAATAGTTGACCACCCTGAGGGACAGAAGGAAAGCCGGGCTCATGTCACACAGAGTCATACATAGGATCAGAGTTGGAAGAGACCCTCTAGCCCAGGCATGGGCAAACTTTGGACCTCCCTCCAGGTGTTGTGGACTCCAACTGATCAAGTCCGCCTCCATGATGCCATGCAAGAAAAGCACAATCCATTCGAGAGATTGGAAAGGATGTCACATTGAGGAGTGGGCCTTGTTTATTTATTTATTTGTTTGTTTACAGAACTTCTACTCCGCCCTTCTCACCCCGAAGGGGACTCAGGGCGGATCACAGAACACGTACACGTCAAACAGTCAATGCCGATTATACAATGGCAAAGACAGACAACAGATAGAGGCATATATGCTGTATATAGGCTTTCCCATCATTCGGCATCTTTGGAGGCTGTGCTCAGATCTGGCCACAGGGGGTGCTCTCGCTCCATCTCCATTTGATTGTTTTGATACTATTTTATACTGTTTTATTGCTATATTGTTATTTAAATGGTATATTTATGTTTTTGGTTGTGCCCTGAGTCCCTCTGCAGAGGTCGAGATAGGACAGGATATAAATGTCCTAAATAAATTAATAAATCTATATAAATAAAAATGTCATGTTCGTTTGTGGTATTCACAGAACTCAAAAACCACTGGGGGAATTGGCACCAAATTTGCACACAAGACACCTAACAACCCAATGCATGTCCTCCACTAAAAAAATTGTTTTGTCATTTGGGAGTTGTAGTTGCTGGGATTTATAGTTCATCTACAATCAAAGAGCATTCTGAACACCACCAATTATGGCATTGAACCAAACATGGCACACAGAATGACCAACAGAAAACACTAGAAGGGTTTGTTGGGCATTGACCTTGAGTTTGGGAGTTGTAGTTCACCTACATCGAGAGAGCACTGTGGACTCAAACAAGGATGGATCTGGACCAAACTTGGCACAAATACTCCATATGCACAAATATCAACAGAGGGAAATAGACCCTGACATTTGGGAGTTGTAGTTGCTGAGATTTATAGTTCACCTACAATCACAGAGCATTCTGAACACCACCAATTATGGCTTTGAACCAAACGTGGCACACAGAATGACCAACACAAAACACTAGAAGGGTTTGTTGGGCATTGACCTTGAGTTTGGGAGTTGTAGTTCACCTACATCGAGAGAGCACTGTGGACTCAAACAAGGATGGATCTGGACCAAACTTGGCACAAATACTCCATATGCACAAATATCAACAGAGGGAAATAGACCCTGACATTTGGGAGTTGTAGTTGCTGAGATTTATAGTTCACCTACAATCACAGAGCATTCTGAACCCCATCAACGATAGAATTGGGCTAAACTCCCACACAGAACCCCCATGTGGGCCACAGCAACACATGGCAGGGGACGGCTAGTGAATAAATAAATCTCTTTGCTGAAGAGATTTCTTTGTTCGCAAATGTCCTCCTTTTTCTGATCACAATACCGTACCTAAATACCTCCCCGTTTTAACGCTGTTCCTATTGATCTACTCACATTTGTTTTCAAACTGCTAGGTAGGCAGAAGCTGGGCTAAAGGTCAGGCGCTCACCCTGATCCGGGTTTCAAACTGTCAACCTTCTGGTTGGCAAAATTTATTGCAGCTTGGTGATTAACCAACTGTGCTAAACCCACAAATGGGAGGAAAAGGAGATTCCACCTAAATATCAGGAAGAATTTTGTGTGGGCAGGAGGAATATGCTGCTGCTTCAGAGTTTGGTAGAGTGTAAGCAGATGCTGGGTGGCCCTCTGTCAGGAGGGATCAGATGGTGCCCTTCCTGGCAGAAAAGAATTGGATTGCATGACCTTTAGGAGTTTCCTCCAACTATATGACTTCTATGACAGGCTGGTTGAGCCTGTGTCAGGGGTGCTTTGGTGGTGCTTTTCCTGCCTGGCAGAAGAAAAGGGGTTGGACTGGATGGGCCCTGGGTTCCCTTCCAACTTAAGGATTCTATCATCATCATCATCATCATCATCATCATCATCACCAAGCAGAGACTGGACAGCCATCTGTTGGGGGTGGTTTGATGGTGCTTTTCCTGCCTGGCAGAAGAAAAGGGGTTGGACTGGATGGGCCCTGGGTTCCCTTCCAACTTAAGGATTCTATCATCATCATCATCATCATCATCATCATCATCATCATCACCAAGCAGAGGCTGGACAGCCATCTGTTGGGGGTGGTTTGATGGTGCTTTTCCTGCCTGGCAGAAGAAAAGGGGTTGGACTGGATGGGCCCTGGGTTCCCTTCCAACTTAAGGATTCTATCATCATCATCATCATCATCATCATCATCACCAAGCAGAGACTGGACAGCCATCTGTTGGGGGTGGTTTGATGGTGCTTTTCCTGCCTGGCAGAAGAAAAGGGGTTGGACTGGATGGGCCCTGGGTTCCCTTCCAACTTAAGGATTCTATCATCATCATCATCATCATCATCATCATCATCATCACCAAGCAGAGACTGGACAGCCATCTGTTGGGGGTGGTTTGATGGTGCTTTTCCTGCCTGGCAGAAGAAAAGGGGTTGGACTGGATGGGCCCTGGGTTCCCTTCCAACTTAAGGATTCTATCATCATCATCATCATCATCATCATCATCATCATCATCATCATCATCACCAAGCAGAGGCTGGACAGCCATCTGTTGGGGGTGGTTTGATGGTGCTTTTCCTGCCTGGCAGAAGAAAAGGGGTTGGACTGGATGGGCCCTGGGTTCCCTTCCAACTTAAGGATTCTATCATCATCATCATCATCATCATCATCATCATCATCATCATCACCAAGCAGAGGCTGGACAGCCATCTGTTGGGGGTGGTTTGATGGTGCTTTTCCTGCCTGGCAGAAGAAAAGGGGTTGGACTGGATGGGCCCTGGGTTCCCTTCCAACTTAAGGATTCTATCATCATCATCATCATCATCATCATCATCATCATCATCATCACCAAGCAGAGACTGGACAGCCATCTGTTGGGGGTGGTTTGATGGTGCTTTTCCTGCCTGGCAGAAGAAAAGGGGTTGGACTGGATGGGCCCTGGGTTCCCTTCCAACTTAAGGATTCTATCATCATCATCATCATCATCTCATCATCATCATCATCATCACCAAGCAGAGACTGGACAGCCATCTGTTGGGGGTGGTTTGATGGTGCTTTTCCTGCCTGGCAGAAGAAAAGGGGTTGGACTGGATGGGCCCTGGGTTCCCTTCCAACTTAAGGATTCTCATCATCATCATCATCATCATCATCATCATCATCATCATCACCAAGCAGAGGCTGGACAGCCATCTGTTGGGGGTGGTTTGATGGTGCTTTTCCTGCCTGGCAGAAGAAAAGGGGTTGGACTGGATGGGCCCTGGGTTCCCTTCCAACTTAAGGATTCTATCATCATCATCATCATCATCATCATCATCATCATCACCAAGCAGAGGCTGGACAGCCATCTGTTGGGAATGCTTTGATGGTGCCTTTCTTGCCTAGCAGAATAAAGGTGGTTGGACTGGATGGGCCCTGGGTTCCCTTCCAACTTAAGGATTCTATCATCATCATCATCATCATCATCATCATCACCAAGCAGAGGCTGGACAGCCATCTGTTGGGAATGCTTTGATGGTGCCTTTCTTGCCTAGCAGAATAAAGGTGGTTGGACTGGATGGCCCCTGGGTTCCCTTCCAACTCTAGGATTCTATTGTTGTTGTTGTTGAGCAAAGGCTGGACAGACGTCTGTTGGGGGTGCTTTGATGGTGCCTTTCTTGCCTGGCAGAATAAAGGAGGTTGGACTGAATGACTTTTGGCTGTTTCTTCCAACTATAAGATTCTATGACTGGTTGGTTGGCCATGTCTCAGGGTGCTTTCCCTTCCAAACCTAGGATTCTGTTGTTGTTGTTGCTGCTGCTGCTGCTGTTGTTGAGCAGAGGCTGGACAGCCATCTGTTGGGGGTGCTTTGATGGTGCCTTTCTTGCCTGGCAGAATAAAAGAGGTTGGACTGGATGGCCCCTGGGTTCCCTTCCCATTTTAAGATTCTATTGTTAGTGTTATTATTATTAATCAGAGGCTGGACAGCCATCTGTTGGGGGTGCTTTGATGGTGCCTTTCTTGCCTGGCAGAATAAAAGAGGTTGGACTGGATGGCCCCTGGGTTCCCTTCCCATTTTAAGATTCTATTGTTAGTGTTATTATTATTAATCAGAGGCTGGACAGCCATCTGTTGGGGGTGCTTTGATTGTGCTTTTCCTGCTTGGCAGAATAAAGGGGGTTAGGCTAGATGGGCCCTAGAGTCCCTTCCAACTTTAGAATTCTTTAAACAGGCTATTTGGCCATCTGCTGGGAGGGATCAGATGGTGCCCTTCCTGGCAGAAAAAGGTTGGATTGAATGACTTTTAGGAGTTCCTTCCAACTATAAGATTCTATGACAGGCTGGTTGACCATGTTTCAGGCAGAATAAAGGAGTTGAACTAGATGTCCCCTGATTTCCCTTCCAACCCTAGGAATCTGTTGTTGCTGTTGAGCAGAAGCTGGACAGCCATCTGTTGGGGGTGCTTTGACGGTGCTTTTCTTGCCTGGCAGAATAAAGGGGTTGGGCTGGATGGCCTTTTGAGGTCCCTCCCCACTCTAGGATGCAATGCCACCCTTGTTGCACCCGCACTCACCGGTAGGTGATGTCGTTGTGGTCCCACTTGAGGTCCCCCTGGAAGGTCTGGAAGGAGCCAAAGTCGGGGACCCCGCAGCGAGGGGCCCGGATGGCGCTGAGCGTGGGGCCGTCCAGCTCCCCGGTCTCCGGGAGGCTCAGCCGCTGCTGCATCTTCCTCAGGGCTTGGTCCAGCGTCACCTGCCCGGCCAGATGGCCCGACCCTTCCAGGTAGCCGTAACGGTAAAGGTAGCGCTGCAGGAAGGAAAGGAGCAGGTTGGAGGTTCTGGGCGGATGGAGAGGCTCGGTGGGCATCTGCTGGGAGTGCTTGGGAAGTCATGCTCCCCATGCTCTATTCCGCTTTGGTTAGACCACACCTGGAATATGGTGTCCAGTTCTGGGCACCACAATTCAAGAGAGAGATTGACTCTAAGCTGGAATGTGTCCAGAGGAAGAGGGCGACTAAAAGGATCAAGGGTCTGGAGAACAAGCCCTATGAGGAGCGGCTTAAGGAGCTGGGCATGCTCAGCCTGAAGAAGAGAAGGCTGAGAGGAGATATGATAGCCATGTATAAATATGCGAGAGGAAGCCACAGGGAGGAGGAGGAGGGAGCAAGCTTCCTTTCTGCTTCTTTGGAGAGAGACTAGGATGCAAGGGAACAATGGCTTCAAACTCCAAGAGAGGAGATTCCATCTGAACATGAGGAAGAACTTCCTGACTGTGAGAGCTGTTCAGCAGTGGAACTCTCTGCCCTGGAGTGTGGTGGAGGCTCCCTCTTTGGAAGCTTTGAAACAGAGGCTGGATGGCCATCTGTCGGGGGTGATTTGAATGCAATATTCCTGCTTCTTGGCAGAATGGGGTTGGAATGGATGATGGCCCAGGAGGTCTCTTCCCACTCTAGGATTCTAGGATTCTATGATTTGCCAGCCTTCCAATTGGGTGACTTTCCAAAGAGCACCTGAAATGCCACAATATTGACTCTGTAGGGATGCTACATCCTTAATCCCACTTGAGTTGTCCTGACACAATGCTATTGAATCCAAGGAGATGTAGTTCCCCAAGGTCCTTGTCCTTCCCCACCTAAGAGTGCTGGTTCCTTCAACAAACTATAACTCCCAGGATTCCATAGCACTGATAAAGTGGTGTTAATCTGCACCAATTATTCAGTGTAGATGCCCCCTGGAAGAAGGCCTTTTCTCCAAAGCACAAGAGAGTTGCCCTCAATCTATGGGCATCACTCTCTTTGGGACCAAGGCAGAGACATCTCCAGCCCATCCCTTGTTTGGGTATCAGCCAGCACGTCAACGACTTAAATCTAGAAATAGTTTTCTAAGATCTACAGAGACACTCGCTGGAACACCCCAGCAAGCGAGAGTCCACAAGTGGCAGGCTCAACCCCAGAACCTCAACCATCCATACCTGTTGACACCCATATCATTAAAGGCTGTGACCAACCTATAAGGACAGAGCTGGACGGACTGGGGACTGTGCCTGGTTCTTTCCCAGTTTGGTCCCTCTTGCTTCAACTCCACAACTACACTTTGCACCAAGGTTGTGCACCGGATCTCATGCTTCCTCAATTCCGATTCAGTTTTCCTCCCAAGCAATTCCCTAGCTCCTGCCTTGCGAGGACAGGTCAAGCTGGATGGCCTCAGGGGAGCCCTGGACCTGCTGCTTGCCCCAGGAGGGAGGTTTCGGAGATGTTTAGGAAATGCCTTGTCGAAGGCTTTCATGGCCAGAATCACTGGGTTGTTGTAGGTTTTTCCGGGCAATATGGCCATGTTCTAGAGGCATTCGCTCCTGACGTTTCGCCTGCATCTATGGCAAGCATCTTCAGAGGTAGTGAGGTGAGGTCTGTTGGAACTAGGAAAAAGGGTTTATATATCTGTGGAAAGACCAGGGTGGGACAAAGGACTCTTGTCTGTTGGAGCTAGGTGTGAATGGGTTGTAGGTTTTTTCGGGCTATGTGGCCATGGTCTAGAGGCATTCTCTCCTGACGTTTCGCCTGCATCTATGGCAAGCATCCTCAGAGGCAGTGAGGTCTGTTGGAAGTAGGAAAAATGGGTTTATATATCTGTGGAATGATGTCCATGGTGAGACAAAGGACTCTTGTCTGCTGGAGCTAGGTGTGAATGTTCCAACTGACCACCTTGATTAGATGTTTAGGAAATGGCCCAGGAGCAAAAATCATAGTGTTACATAGTGCAAGAAGAGCTGTTCAACAGTAGAACTCTCTGCCTTCGAGTCTGGTGGGAGCTCCTTTTATGGAGGCTTTTAAACAGAGGCTGGCTGAGGAAACAATCTGGGACATCGAATCACCTCTCAACAAAAGATTGCCCCAGGCACTGCCAGGCAATCAAATGCTAATCAAGGTGGTCAGTTGAAACATTCACACCTAGCTCCAGCAGACAAGAGTCATTTGTCCCACCCTGGTCATTCCACAGATATATAAACCCTTTTTCCTAGTTCCAACAGACCTCACTACCTCTGAGGATGCTTGCCATAGATGCAGGTGAAATGTCAGGAGAGAATGCCTCTAGAACATGGCCATATAGCCCAAAAACCTACAACAACCCAGTGATTCTGGCCATGAAAGCCTTTGACAATACAGTCTCTGGACTGGATGGCCATCTGTCGGGGGTGCTTTGATGGTGCTTTTCCTGCATGGCAGAGTAAAGGGGGATGGACTGGATGGCCTTTGGGGATCTATGAGTGTACACCAGGTATGGGCCAACTTGGGCCCGCCAGGTGTTTTGGACTTCAACTCCCACAATTCCTAACAGCCAGTAGGCGTGAAGTCCAAAACACCTGGCGGGCCCAAGTTGGCCCAGGCCTGATCTCCAGGGTCAGCGGCACTCCAAGGTGCAGGTGAGAAATCCATTGGCCATCCCTTCCTTTGGCCACCCCTTGACCCTTGCTCTAGCCAGACGGGGAGGGGGCTACTCTTGATCCTTGTCCCTTCCTGATTGCATCCACTCACCTTGGCCAGATCTTTCTCAGACACCTGGCTGACCGTGTCTCCAGGGAAAGAGATGACCAGGGGTCCGCTGGGGTCCTGGAGGGGGGCGGCCTGGGCGCATCTCAGGGCCAGGAGCCCCATCAGGAAGGGGGCCCAGAGGGACAGACCCATGGCTGGTATCCGGAGGGTCTTGGGCTGTGTCTTGCTTGGATGGATAGATGGAGAATTCAGCCTTGGAGCTTCCCTTCTGGTGCCTCTCTCTGCCAGAAGGAGCCTTGCCAGCCCTGCTTTATACCTTCAAGGAGGGGACGAGGGAGGGAGGGAGGGAGGGAAGTGGGGGGGTGACTCACCCTCCACCCCACAGATCACTCACTCACTCACTCATTGCCCTTGGAAGGAAGGAAGGAAAGGGTGGGGGGGGGGACAGGTCAACCACTTCCTGGGACTTTCTCAACACTTTGTTTACTGAGTCTGCAGGAAGTGTGAAATCCAGCAAGCAGTGGCCCACTCTGTGGTTTTGGATTGGGGGAAATTCGCAGATTGGGGCCAAGCATCACCATCAGCAGCATCACAGGCTTTGTGGCTCATTGGCCTCGGTGGCTACCTGCCACCATTATTATTATTATATTATTATTATTATTATTATTATTATTATTATTATTATTATATCTCGCCTCTCTTGAGGGACTCAGACCGGTTTCCAACCATAATATCACATAAAACATTAAATCATAATACATATTACAGTAAAACATTAAAACAGCAATTACAATCAATAACTATAATGGTCAGTTGTCACCCTAAAATCGTTGTTCATCATCCTCCATCCATATCTCAGGGTGTTGGCTCACTCGCCGAATGCCTGTATCCATAACCAAGTCTTCACCTGTTTCCTATGGAGCATTGCAGCGCACCCAAATACCTGGGAGGAGTCACTCTGGACCGTGCTCTGACCTACAAGAAGCACTGCCTGAACATCAAGCAAAAAGTGGGTGCTAGAAACAATATCATACGAAAGCTGACTGGCACAACCTGGGGATCACAACCAGACACAGTGAAGACATCTGCCCTTGCGCTAGGCTACTCTGCTGCTGAGTACGCATGCCCAGTATGGAACACATCTCACCATGCTAAAACAGTGGATGTGGCTCTTAATGAGACATGCCGCATAATCACGGGGTGTCTCCACCTGACACCACCCGAGAAGTAGCAGCCAATAGTGAAAGGACCAAGGCAGAGACATCTCCAGCTCATCCCCTGTTTGGGTATCAGCCAGCACATCAACGACTTAAATCTAGACATAGTTTTCTAAGATCTACAGAGACACTCGCTGGAACACCTCAGCAAGCAAGAGTCCAAAAGTGGCAGGCTCAAGCCCAGCACCTCAACCAATGGCTGATACCAAATGAGAGACTCCCCCCTGGGCACACAGAAGAGGACTGGGCGACTTGGAAGGCGCTGAACAGACTGCGCTCTGGCACCACGAGATGCAGAGCCAACCTCCAGAAATGGGGCCACAAAGTGGAGTCCACGACATGCGAGTGTGGAGAAGAGCCAACCACTGACCACCTCTGCAATGCAACCTGAGCCCTGCCACATGATGCACCATGGAGGACCTTCTTGCGGCAACACCAGAAGCACTCCAAGTGGCCAGATACTGGTCAAAGGACATTTAACCAACTACCAAACTCACAAGTTGTGTATTTTTCTGTTTGTTTGCTTTGTTCTGTTAGAAATGTAATATAATGGACTGGTTGCTCTGACACGACAAATAAATCTAGGGCTGGGCGGTTTCGTTTCGTTAATTCGTAATTCGTTAAAAATTCGTTATTTTTTTTATAACGAAGCGATAACGAACCATTCTGGAGCAACTTAAAAACGAAACGAATTTTTAAATTCGTTTCGTAATTGTTTCGGATTCGTTATGTATTCGTTTCGTTATCGTTTTGAAGTCGTTTCGTTATTATTTCCGCATGTCTGGGGCAAGTTTTATAGTTGTTGTTTGTTTAATTAGTGAAAAAAAATTATAAATATCACACCAACAGTCAACAACAGAGGGAGAGGGAAGCTTCAGAAGTTCCCCCCGTCCCATATGAAGGTTTTTTAGCGTATTGCGCAATCGCGTCCGCCATTAATGAATCGATTCGTTATTGTTTCGTATTTGTTTCGTTATTGTTTCGTAATTTTTTTAACATTTACGAAATTTCGTAAATATCGAACTTTTTAAAAGAAAAATTTCGGAATTCTTTTAAAAATCGAAACGCAAAAACCCCCAAAAAACGAATCGATTTTAGAAACAAATTTTTCCGTGGTTGCCCAGGCCTAATAAATACCTGTTTCCTAAATGTCAGGATAGAAGGGGCGGTTCTGATCTCTAGTGGGAGAGAGTTCCAGAGTCAAGGGGCCACCACTAAGAAGGCCCTGTCCCTCGTCCCCACCAGACGCGCAAAACACAACAAGATGAATCCACAGCAGACACTCTGCTGGCTGTTGTATTGGATCACACGTCGGACAGTTCCCAAGCATCTAGGACTGTTGTTGTTGTTATTACTACTACTACTACTATTAGAAACACAACAAGATGAGTCCACAGCAGACACTCTGCTGGCTGTTGTATTGGATCACACGTCGGACACTTCCCAAGTGTCTAGGACTGTGTGATGTATCGGTGAATGATGTGTGCAGATCCCAGTAAGGTGGCCTTCTGCAGCTGGCAGATGGTAATTTTGTCAGCGCCGATTGTGTTTAAGTGCAGGCCAAGGTCTTTAGGCACTGCACCCAGTGTACCCATCACCACTGGGACCGCTTTGATTGGCTTGTGCCAGAGTCTTTGCAGTTCGATCTTTAAATCCTCTTATTATTATTGTATTATTATTATTATTTATTATTATTATTATTATTATTATTATTATTTGAAACACCACAAGATGAGTCCACAGCAGACACTCTGCTGGCTGTTGAATTGGATCACATATCAGACGCTTCCCAAGTGTCTAGGACTGTGTGATGTATCGGCGAATAATGCATGCAGATCCCAGTAAGGAGGCCTTCTGCAGCTGGCAGGTGGTAATCTTGTCAGCGCTGATTGTGTTTAAGTGCAGGCCAAGGTCTTTAGGCACTGCACCCAGTGTGCCGATCACCACTGGGACCACCTTGACTGGCTTTGCAGTTCGATCTTTAAATCCTCATATCGTGTCAGCTTTTCCAGTTGTTTCTAATTTAATAATATTTAAATTATTATTTAAATAACATTTTAAATTATTATTTAAATAACATTTAAATTATTATTTAAATAACATTTAAATTATTATTTAAATAATATCTAATAATGTTTCTAGTTATTATTATTATTATTATTAGTATTATTTTACTGATGCAAAAGCCCAGTATGTCACAGCAAACGAGATCTCTCTGCTGGATTTCGTATCACAAAATCACAAGTCGAACACTTCCCAAGCGTCTAGGACTGTGTGATGTATTTTCGAATGATGCGCGCAGATCCAAGTCAGGTGGCCTTTTGCAGTTGACAGATCGTGATTTTGTCAATGTTTATTGTTTCCAAATGCCGGCTGAGATCTTTTGGCATGGCACCCAGTGTGCCCATTATTCCCACTGGGACCACCTGGACTGGTTTATCCCGCCAGAGCCTTTGCAGTTTGATTTTGAGGTCTTGATAGTGGCTGAGTTTTTCCTGTTGTTTTTCCTCAATGCGGCTGTCACCCGGTACAGCGACATCAATAATCCAAACTTATTATTATTGTTATTGTTATTATTAGAAACACAACAAGATGAGTCCAGAGCAGGCACTCTGCTGGCTGTTGTATTGAATCACATGTCGGACCCTTCCCAAGCGTCTAGGACTGTGTGATTATCGTCGAATGATGTATGCAGATCCCAGTAAGGTAGTCTTTTGCAGCTGGCAGGCGGTAATGTTGTCAGCGCCTATTGTGTTTAAGTGCAGGCCAAGGTCTTGAGGCACTGCACCCAGTGTGCCAATCACCACTGGGACCCCCTTGACTGGTTTGTGCCAGAGTCTTTGCAGTTCGGTCTTTAAATCCTTGTATCGTGTCAGCTTTTCCATTTATTATTATTATTATTATTATTATTATTATTATTATTATTATTTGAAACACACAAGATGAGTCCACAGCAGACACTCTGCTGGCTGTTGTATTGGATCACATGTTGGACACTTCCCAAGTGTCTAGGACTGTGTGATGTATCAGCGAATAATGCATGCAGATCCCAGTAAGGTGGCCTTCTGTAGCTGGCAGATGGTAATCTTTGTCAGTGCGATTGTGTTTAAGTGCAGGCCAAGGTCTTTAGGCACTGCACCCAGTGTGCCAATCACTGCTTTATTGTTGTTGTTGTTGTTGTTGTTATTATTATTATTATTATTATTATTATTATTATTTGAAACACAACAAGATGAGTCCACAGCAGACAAGATCACTCTGCTGGCTGTTGTATTGGATCCCATGTCGGACACTTCCCAAGTGCCTAGGACTGTGTGATGGATCGGCACAAAGTGCTCTCCCAACAGGTACCAGCCAATCACTCTCCATTAGAAAATGTTGACCATTTCCGCCCCCTTGGCAGCCACCTCTCCACCAAAGTCAACATTGACACTGAAATACAACACCGCCTGAGCTCTGCGAGTGCAGCATTTTTCCAAATGAAGCAGAGAGTGTTTGAGGACCGGGACATCCGTAGGGAGACCAAGGGGCTTGTTTATAAAGCCATTCCCCTCCCAACCCTGCTATATGCCTGCGAGACATGGACTGTCTACAGACGTCAACATTGACACTGAAATACAACACCGCCTGAGCTCTGCGAGTGCAGCATTTTTCCAAATGAAGCAGAGAGTGTTTGAGGACCGGGACATCCGTAGGGAGACCAAGGTGCTTGTTTATAAAGCTATTGTCCTCCCAACCCTGCTATATGCCTGCGAGACTTGGACCCCACAAAGTCAACATTGACACTGAAATACAACACCGCCTGAGCTCTGCGAGTGCAGCATTTTTCCAAATGAAGCAGAGAGTGTTTGAGGACCGGGACATCCGTAGGGAGACCAAGGGGCTTGTTTATAAAGCCATTGTCCTCCCAACCCTGCTATATGCCTGCGAGACATGGACTGTCTACAGACGTCAACATTGACACTGAAATACAACACCGCCTGAGCTCTGCGAGTGCAGCATTTTTCCAAATGAAGCAGAGAGTGTTTGAGGACCGGGACATCCGTAGGGATACCAAGGTGCTTGTTTATAAAGCTATTGTCCTCCCAACCCTGCTATA